ATAAAATGTAAAAATCATATTTCTATATAAATAAAATTGCAGTGCTTATAATTGTTATAGGTTGCACTGAATTAAAAGATATATACTAGAGTACTTTTATCCATTGTTAGAGATTAAAACTTTTTTTAATAGATTTATTTATGAAAAAATAAATACATAATTTTTTGCACTACGCTTTATAACAATTAGTCTAATCAAATTTATAACACATTGTAGTTGGCAACCTGAATCGAAATTCCCATTTGCTCAAGTCCGTCTACCTCCAAAAGATGGTTCCAAAGCGGAATTTCAAGAGAACCAGGAAATTGAAGTATTCTCTAGATCTAATGATCAGGAAGCGTGGGGCTGGTGGAAAGCACTTATTAAGGTGCGCAAAACAATTTATTAGCAAATGTTGACAAGTACAATGCTTATAACATGTAATATATTACATATGTGTATGTATATATATAATGTTATATTATACATATGTGTTGTAAGAATTATTATTAAAAGAATGAATTAGCTTTTATTATTTAATTAAATATGATTTTTTTAGATGAGTAAAGGAGGTTTCCAAGTAGTGGAATACTTGGGATGGGAATATACATATACTGAAATTGTAGCTAGTGAGCGACTGAGAGCCAAAAATCCAAATTCCCCTATTGACAAGAATACATTTCACAAGATCGAAATTGAAGTACCTGAAGAGCTCCGAGAATTGTAAGTAGTTTAAAAAAGAGAAAATAATTTATTGCGGATTGTTATCTTGTTTTAATTATGGATAATAACTTTAATCAGAGTTATCCTAACATTTCTATATTACTAGATGTAAACAAAGTAATTAAATTGAGCATATGTTACATATTATAGTGCGAAAATGGACAATGCACATAAGGAATTTCAAAAGGCGATAGGGGCGGCAGTGTGCCGATATGTGCCTGAACGAGGAGTACTGCTGGCCATCTCCCGTCATGAAAATATACATCGTCACAGTAGCATGCTCCAAGAAATGCATTTTAGAAACTTATCGCAAAAGGTAAATTATTTTTACATTATTAATAAAAAAATTCTTATCAATTTGTTTTTACATCTTTATTTAATTTTAAAGCATGTAAGATAATATCTTTTAAAGTTTTAAAAAGAGTTTTATTATTTTGCTTTTACATATATTTCACAGGTTTTGCTATTGAAGAGAACAGAAGAAGCAGCGCGTCAGCTTGAATCTACTAAACTTCAAACAATAGGAGGGTAAGTTATTAATATTTTTTAATATTTGTAAATAACAAAAAAAAAAAATCTTGTGAGATTGTTTTACCTGCCCTTGTCCATGTACTGTCCTGGTTACCATCCTGTCTGTGGTTTGCATTTACTGGCAGAAAAATCAGATCACAAGATTTCTAATTATTAATTGATATGTTTGCTTTAATATCACGTAACTTCATGAATGTGATTATATAGGCACATCATAAATAGTATTTATTATACATACATCTTATTTCTTTTTCTTTCATCTCTTCTATCACGAATACGATTATAGGTAGAATATTAACAAATTTAACATTTTTGAGGCTCGCATATATAACTATATTTATCCGAATTTTTCTTTCGTTATAACAAAACAGGTGCAAATACAATAAGAAATTTTATGTGCACTATAATTCATTTTCCCTTGCGTTATGGCAGATACCTTTCGTTAAACAACATTAGATCA